TTTTTTGTATAAACAAAATAATGAATGGAAGWTGGAGTCACGTGAAGAAGTTCACGCAAATGAGGGAGGTTATCTGATCGGCATTCACTTGGGGGTGGCCAGAGACGATTTTTTACATATGAATCAAGCAGCTCACGAATTCCGGTCTTTGACCAAGYATCCTCTGGGTAGCCTAAGAACATCCGTTTGAAGGCGAGCTAAAGTGATAAGGCGAAGTATCCCTTACATAGGGTTGTGCGCTGGGTTTAGGACCCGCCACGTAAAAAAAAATCCCAATAAATAGTTATCGTGGATTAAGCCTCCTCAACATCGGTTATATCGAGCATATTGTGTTAAAAATTAAAGCCCACCGTCAACAAAGTGATTGGACCTTATCAGCGTGGCTTTAGATCTGGCAAATCAACAACCGACCAAATATTCACCATGTGCCAAATCTTGGAAAAGACCCGTGAAAGGAGAATCGACACATACCACCTCTTCGTCGGTTTCAAAGCTGCTTTCGGCAGCATGAAAAGGAGCTGCCTTTATGCCGCGATGTCTGAATTCGGTATCCGCGAAAAACTAATACGACTGTGTAAACTGACGTTGAGCAACATCAAAAGCACCGTCAGGATCGGGAAGGACCTGTCCGAGCCGTTCGATACCAAACGAAGGTTTTAGACAAAGCGACTCCCTATCGTGCGACTTCTTCAATCTGCTTCTGGAGAATTCGAGCTGCATACTAAATAGAGGTACCATCTTCTATAAGAGTGTACAGCTGCTGGCGGATGCCGATGATATTGATATCTGCTTTTCCAGCCTGGAAAAGCAAGCAAAACAAATGGGTCTGGCAGTGAATAAGGGCAAGATGAAATATCTCCTGTCATCAAATAAATACTAGTGACCAGGCTCCCATGTCACTGTTGACAGAATGTCGTTGTGGTTTACGTGAGTACCTGCCTGCGAMGGCCTAACCTCAGGGTGCTTTCTATTGCTAGAAGCACGTAGATAAATACAATACATTGATCAGCGCCCCAAAGCATAAATGCATTTTGTATTTAATTTTTGGTTCCAACTGGTTCGGGTGGATAGGGACACCCTAGTTACCTTGGTCGGGTTTGAGGCCCGTCTAAAACCCTCAACCGGCCGCAGTGCGACTCCACAATGGACAAAATGCCCTTCCTGCATTTAGGATTAAACCACAGTCACCACGAATCTCCACAAAGGGCTAAACCCAATGAGCAGATTGGAGTTACCTCCAAGGGCTAACTGCTCCCCGTGGTACCAGGTTATAGTCTTTGGTCTGACTTTGTAGCTTTCGCTGCTACTATAAACCATAAACTCAATGACTGGTTGCATTTGTAACTGTGACAAGTGCTTTATATTTTGTGATATAAATATAAAGCTTARAATTTRACTTCCAGCAGAATATTATAGCACTTTTCTGACTTAGACCATGTTGACATCAAACCAAGACCTGTAATGTCAGACATAGTGCATATAGCTTTTAGTCGCCTCTTACGACAGGCATGCCTTGCCGCGGGTACATTCGGTTTCGCCTCGAACCCTGAGKGGTCACTGTTGACAGTCATAATTTCAAAGTTGTGGATAKTTTCGTATATTTGGGAMCCAGCAKAAACAYCAACAACAATGTCAGCCTGGAAATCCAACGCAGGATAACTCTTGCCAACAGGTGCTACTTCGGACTGAGTAGGCAATTAGAAGTAAAGTCCTCTCTCGA